CATCAGTAATTTAGAGGCAAGCAGTAACCGGGTTATATCTCTCACCGCCGAGAGAGAGGAAGATCCATTAACACACAACAACACATTTCACAAGAATTAATTTTTACTGCCAAGGCAATACAATCATTGGATTAAACTCGCAATTTTTGGAAATACCGATTATTCTTTTGGTGTTACTGTAAGGCAATTCGGATTGCCTGGACTTCGGATTAACGTCTCTTCTGATTGAAGAGGTTCCATTGTATTTAGATTAAATAATTTTTCTGTTACTCTGATGTTCAGTGTCTTGTAAGCTATACTTTGCACTTGCAGTTTCCTTAAATATACTATAAATTCGACAAGCGGAATCAGACAGGCTGGTTGCACGATAAGTAATTCGTGACCGTCAAAAGTTTCATCTCTAAAATTACTCAAAGGGTTTCGAATATATATGAAGATCCTCTATCCGTACACGATTTTCATATCTTTCTAAATATATACATTTAGTATATTATGTCCGTTTGTGTTCACTCGTTTGTATGGCTCCAATAAATTGTAATCAATTATAAATCGTTCATTAAAATATGTTTGAACAACATGTCACACGACACTATAAACTTATGTAATTTTAAGCCAATATCATCAAACATGGCGACCGTGCGCAAAATCGCATGTCAGGAACAGCATTGTTTGATACTTAATTGTAATATATTTTCTGTATCGCTGTTATACAGCGTCGATCATAGCATGATTGCTAGAATGAGAATTGGTAAGGGGAAACAGAAGTAAAGAAACTCCGTGGCTTTAGTCAGCAAGCTAACTATACTGACCGAGCGACCGCCGCTTGTCGGCGAAGTTAGTGCCAACTTTAGCGGATAGAGAGTGTCGCGTGTTCAGCGCAATGAATCCCTATGGCCTTAATTTCGGTTTTCTAGACCGGAACGTACTTGCAGAAAATCTACCCCAGTGCCTCTCTGTCAAGCACAAATTCCACATAACGTGAAATGGAATCAAATTCGGATCGCCGAGTGCGAATCCGGCTGTGAGAACAAAGGCATGATCCCTGACCTGCTATAATATCCAGACCGGCTCTGGGGCCCACCTATCCTCCTATACAGTGGGTATCAGGGGCTCTTTCCCCGGGAATAAAGCGACCGGGTCGTGAAGCTGACTACTAATCTCCAACTAATGCCTAGGTCAGAATGGTGGAGCTATACCTCCATTCTCCAGTATGTCATAATGGCGTGGTGCTGAATTATTTAAGTACAGGAAGAACTTAAAAGAAGTAACGTAATGAGACAATTTTGTAACTTTGTGCACAGAAACAAAGCAGCGTGCTCTCTCCGAAACAGCAGAGCAATTCTTGAAGAACTGATAATCGAACAATTACTCAAAAGTCTTCCTGGGTTTGTGATTTCTGAAAGTTCATTACCTGTTCACAATATCCCGCCACTGGAACCTTTTTCCAGGTATGTGAATCCAGTTCATGTCCCTACATCCCATTTCTCTAAAATCTTATTTAATATTATACATCCATCTACATCCTGTTCCCGCAAGTTCTCTCTTCAATTAAGGGGTCTGCAAGAAACGTTTGTACGAATTTCTCGTATCTCCCTTGTGCTGGCCTATCTCATCCACCTTGGTATTGTCAGATCAGTACTGTTTCGGAAGAGTAGTCTACAAATTTGTAAATTCATAATTATGCCATTTTCTCAAGTCCCTTCTTACTTCCTTGTCCTTAGGTTCATCATTAAATTGCGTAATTTTTCATTTGTAAGTTCTACTGGCCTTTCTATGCAAATTGGAGTATGGGAACTGACAAGGGAAAAAACTGATCACCTGCCTTCCGTCCCTGAATTTTGGAAGAAATCCAAATTTAGAAACGACGGAAATAATTCCAATATTCATAAAAAAATTAAAATATTTTTTTAAAATTGCTTTTGTATCCTGAATATTAAAAGACGATCAGTATATTTAGTCTTAAAAGATCTTAAAAAATAAGCTGATAACCAAGTTCTCTGTCTGATCCCTTCCCCATTGAAGATTCTCACGTTACTCATGTATTCCAGATGGGTTAAATCAGAAGTTCTTCACAGAACTTGTTGTAAGCCCTATATGTTCATGCATTCATTCTGTTTGAGAAGAAGACTCGCTTCTTGCAAGATCACGTGGTCTGACAGCAGAAGCGACAATTACCTAAAGACATTCATATATTACGTACGTTTTAAGAGATAAGCGGTTTATTTTATTTTTCCTTCTAACAAAAAGAGAGAGCGTGTACACACTCCTACACTGTTACACTCCCCGGAACAAGCAAAGAATAACAAAGCGCACAATCTCACAGAACTGGATTCCTCGTTGGAACAGAAGTAAATGTGAAGTAAATTACACACACAGAATTCATTTGGACGGAAACTGGTCTTTACTTAAAGCCGTATAAATGTAAAGCAACATGTTCTGGAGAAAATTATGACGTCACTTTCTTTGTACAGTTCTACTGTTTCTTCTAAGGTAAGATTGTCCCTGCGCTCAGTGAATTAAGCACTAAGCCACGAAGGCGTATTGGGGAGAGGATATATAGACCCACATTTTCTGGACCTCGGCACTGGCTGGACGTGAGTGGTTAGCTTCACGCTCCGGTCGCTTCATCCCCAATACCGATTGGTTAGGAGATTGGGTGGACCCCAGAGTCGGTCTGAACTATTTAAAGAAGAGAAATTTCTTGACCCTACCTGGAGGGCCAGGTCCCCGTATTTACAACCCCAGGAACGTGGGGGTCCAGTTACACAACCAGGCACTTCGACGCTTGAATACTGAATTTGTTCTAAATAACATATAAAAATTTAGTTCGTCCGGAATAGCGTACTCAATATAACGACTGGCTACGGGGTAGACGATTGAGGGGCGGAGTTCAAGTCCCAGTGGGGGTAAACATTGTCACTTCTCCATGTCGTCCAGACCGACTCTGGGGTTCACTCAACCTCCTATTCAATGGGTACCGCAGGCTCTTACTCCGGGGGTAAAGCGGCCTGGACGTGAAACTGACCACTCACTTCCAACTAGTGTCGAAGTCAAGAAAATGTGGGTATTTACATCCACTACCCATACGCCTTCATGGCGTAGTGCTTAATTAGTTAAGCACACGAACAAATTTACCTTTACTTTTACCTCACAGAAAACACATTACGTCTCCGCTACAAAGCCCAACCGGTTAATGCTGTTTAGGGAAACGGTCGCTGTTTACTTTGGGAACCATACGGAACACAGATACACGCTATGGGCAGATGCAGTGTTTTAGTATGTTAAAGCAGGGAGCATAAAACCACTGGACTTAAATGGGTTAATGCTATATATTTATTTCAGCCACAGTGTGATGAAATTATTATCTTTAGTGGACAAAATGTTACTCTCATTTAAATAATGCTAATTATTTGAAACTGCGCAGTGAGTGGCATGTACTATCATATACCTTGCACACAGCAAAGAAACTGACATTTCCGGGGCCGCAGTAATCAAAAACATTTTATGTCTTATATGTTATCGATAAAAGGTGAAATTACGTGTAGTAAGTAAGAACAAAAAATGCACATTTTTTATTGCTAGTGGGATGGAACTAAGTCCCTTGTACTGCGGCCACTTCTGGCCTATTGTACCAGCCCCAAATGATAGGTGAGGGTGATTGTGGAGCAATTGGTGGAATGAAGATTGGCAGGGGAAACCGAATACTCGGAGAAAACCTGCCCCAGCGCCACTTTGTCCACCACAAATCTCACGTGACCAGACCGGAGATCGAACCCGGGCAGCCGCCGTGGGAAGCCAGCGACTAACCGCTTGAGCTATGGCGCGGCCCAAGAATGTACATAGTTAATGACATTTTAAAATATTAACAAACACTTTTAGTGCATTATATATATTGTAACGTGGATGGCACAACGGGAAGTAGAGATCACGTGAACTCTGTGGTCTCGCGATTGACGTCACATACCCCCACCCCTTCCATTATTAGGCAACGCTCGGTAAACACTCCGTCGCCTCCCGTGGTGACGCAACAGCACTTCCCATTGTGACGTAACAGGGGACACCGCGATTACTACACAGCAATAAACAACTCTCGGCAGCGTTCCCCAGCAACGCCTGTAAACACGACGTTACGCAACAGTTGTAGCTATCACGTAACTGTTTTCTGTGTTGTCAGTGCGGAAGCTACATAACGAGAGGATTACCAGGAGTAACCAGTCAGTTGCACTCTAGCATTCGCCGGAGTGAGTTGAAGTCCTTTGTTATCGAGTGAATGGCAGCAGTAAGTGGGATACTGCAGATGGCAGTAATTGTGAAACTGTGAATTGTGTAATTGTGAGAGCGAGTGTTCAATAAATTCGCTATATCCAATACGGCGTAAAGTTATTTGTCTCGTTACACACCCAACACGTGACAATATATATATATCTTAGTGACTTTCAGGGCCGCCTCTGTGGTCTAGTGGTCAGAGTTCCTGGCTACAGATCCAGAGGTCCGGGTTCGATTCCCAGCGCTACCAGATATTCTGAGAAGTAGCTGATCTGGAACGGGGTCCACTCAGCCTCACGAGGATAACTGAGGAACTATTTCAAGGAAATAGCGGCTCCGGTCTAGAAAGCAGAGATTAACGGCCGTGGGGATCCGTTCCGCTGACCACGCGACACCCTCTATCCGTTGAAGTTGGCATTAACTTCGCCGACAAACGGCAGTTTCTCAGTCGGTATAGTTCGCTTGTGAACTACAGGCCACGGAGTTTAATGTCTTATAAGAAAGGACTGGCTTTGTTGCATTACAGACGGAATACTATACAATTTAAAATGGTACCCCAATGTTCTATGTTGCCATTCTACCAATGCTAGATATTTATCTATTGTCATGGGTTGGTGCAATCGGCCCTTGTGAGGCTGCAGTAACGAAAGATTCAGTCATAACCAACTCCTGAAATTAAAAACTAGCTTTTGAGAAACCACAGTGGCCTTCAGAAGAACTGTGATGTAACTTACCCGGTTCAGTAGTCTTTTGATCCAATTTGTGGTAACACAGTGAAATGGAGGTCTTGTGGGTTACCACAAGACACTTATCTCATGGATAGAGCCTGGTTGTCTGCGTCAGAGGGTATGTCACAAGCTGAGTATACAACCCTGCGAAAGAAAAGTCCTTTATGTTGAATGACATCTCCACTACAGCAGTAAGGTTGGTCACCTAGTCTAGAAATAAATCTAGTAACTTTCTTATGGTTGTGTAAGGATATATGCCACTCTTCCTTCCACACTACAGTGAGTTCGCTACAGAACCTTAAGTATATGGTGACGTCATACAAGTGTGACGCACAGAGATGTGATATTGTCTAAAGCACTGAAAATACTATACTTCCTGAAATAAATTAAAACTTATTTCACATCATTTCCGCTCTTAAAGTAGCTTTGCTAATATTGATGGTACAGCATCTTTACTTACTTATGGGGCTGAGCCCTTCTTGAGGAGAAGCCAGTTCTGCAGCTACTCAAGAATTTCCCAGCATGTTATGAAACCCGAAGGTTCATTACCGTGTTCACAAGAGCCCTCCACTGGTCCCTATCCTAAGCCAGATCTATCCAATCCATACCATCCCATCCTATCTCTCTAAGATCCATTCTAATATTGTCCACCCACCTACGGCTTGGTCTTCCTTGTGATCTCTTTCCTTCTGGCTTTCCCACCAATATCCTATACTCATTCCTCCTCTCCCCCATTCGTACTACATGCCCTGGCCACCTCATCCTCCTTGACTTGATTACCCTAATTACACTTGGAGAAGAGTTATACAGCATCATTAAGAAAAGAAATTACAAAAATAATTGTATTAATGCAGAACTAAATACATACATCAAGATTAATTTAATTTAATTTTTAATTTCACTGGCTTTACGGCCCCCATGTGCCCGGGCCTCTTTTTACACTTTCATGATAATTTTACAGACGGTAGGACTCCTTGGACGATTGATCAGCTTGTCGCAAGGCCTCTACCTAAGCACAGAATAAATACATACACATACGAAACATCCATGCCTTGTATGGGATTTGAACCCACGATCCCAGCGTCCGAGAGAGCGAAGACAGATCATGCTTTAGACCGCGCGGCTACCGTGACCGGCACATCAAGATGAAGCTATATACAAATTCATTGATTACGCAAGAAGCCACGTAGTTCCTTCAGCATAGGCTACAGGCTGGACGACCAGGAAATCAGAAATCGACTCCCGGCAGATGCAACAGTAATTTCTCTGCTATCCAGTTGGTGCTGGTGTTATTTCCCTTGGGGGTAAAAGGGCCGAAGCGTGAAGATCATTATTCCCCATCCATATACTAACCAGGTGAAGAAGTGAAAGGATACACTTCCGATGGAATGAAGTTACGGAGTAAGTCTAGGGCCACCTAACAGAGTTTCACGGTTTATACACTCCTGTTAACGGTGAGAGATCTCTGATAGATTACAGGAATGCGCCCAGAATGGGAACGAAGTGGTTCTCCCGTCTAATTGTGATTTCTTTTCAGTCCAGAGCTAATTATAATTTAAGATATATTTGTTTTTTCTTTTTACATCAGTATGTCTGTAATAACAGAACCTGTTGGACCGTGGTGACACTGTCCATTGTACTTACTTCCGGTCTGTTGAATGCCAAGTACAGCTATGGTGTGGATTATTGCAACATTTCACACGAACTTTATTAAACTTTCAAAACCTATATGATGTTATTTTCCCCATAAATATAATGCAATAATTCACTAAGTTCCACTTAGTTTAAAGTCAGTACATATGCACCCATATGTTGGACTGGAACACAGTTTTCCAAGCCATAGACTCGATCCCAGGGAACAGCCCATTTTAGGAGTCCATTTTTTGAACACGTAACAAACTAAAAATATGGTCTTTCTTTCTTTTTCTTTCTTTCTCTCTTTGCTTCCTGGTTGGATTCGAAACTCTCTGCAGCATAAATTTGTTCTATCTGCCTATCTATCCATCGATGTATCTATCTACGACTATGTATCTATGGATAAATTTATCTACGAGTATCTGTCTATCTGCTTATCTACCTATCTATCAATGTATCTATGAATGAATGAATGAAAGTATAAGGGGTGGGCCTTCTCGGCCCTTGCACCGCGACCTACAGTGACCTACTGTGCTTCCCTTTTGATTACCCTCATGGAACTGGCCAAACATAACAGGGTACAACTGATATGGGAGCCAGGACATGGGGGAATTGCTGGAAATGAAACAGCAGACAAATTGGCCAAGATTGGAGCTGAACATCCGTTCATAGGAACTGAACCAGCCTGTGGCATCTCTATAGGAGTATCTATCTATCTATATATCGCTGCATTTATCTACGAGTACTTATCTATTTGTCTCTCTGTCTACCAATATCTATGGCTCTGCAGTCCTTTGTTGGATCTTGGCCGCTTTTTCAGTTTCCTAATCCTATACACAGTCAATAGAAGTCCTTCGACGGGGGATCAGCCCTTAGCAAGGCCGCTACTTACACGCAGAATAAACGCACTCATACATCCATGTCTTGAGTGGAATTAGAACCTACGATCCCAGGGTTCGAGCAAGCGAAGACTGTTCATGCATTAGACCGCGCGGCGACTGTGATCGGCTAAATTTCTTCTATACATGTTTAAAATTTCAATTTATATCTCACAAGAAACATGGCTTCTCCATAACAAAGAACAACTACTTTATGTCGATTGAAGATATAATCGCGGTTTCATTCTGAGAATCATACGAAACACAAACGTTACTATTTAGCCTAATATCCTTAGTTTGAAAAAAAAATAAAAGTATGCTTGTAGGATCTCCATACTCTCTCTGTGTCTGTGTATCCCCGCCCCCCATCAAATTTGAATGCTTGAATCAATTTTTAAGAAACCTGGTATGTACTTGTATATCGTGGCACTTGAGCACATCACAACGGCGTAAAGCTATCGATGTAATCGACCGTGGAGGACCTTGGGGTGTGAGACATCGAGGCTCCCACATTTTCCAGATAATGTGCTCACAGATGGCGGTATGTTTGTCAGCCATTCGCGCTGGCAGCCCTATTCCCACAGGAATATTTCTGGTACTCATTTCTGTTAAAGGCTGTGTCGACCCCAGGGCCATAGTGCGGCTGGCAGGATTAGGTCGATTGAAAAATCCAGTGACATAGATCCCTCCCGTCAGTCTGTGTGTCTATGTGTACCCCTCCTGTAGTTGCTAGGCAAAGTCTCAGTAAAAACGTTAACTCCGCAAAGAATACACACGCAACAATGGAAGAATTGTTGGACGCGTCGTTTTGTATGTGGTCCGTGTCGTATGAAAAGAAAGTAGGTGATTATTTTTCCCAGAATTTCTTGTTGCTTTATCTTATATGTAGCATGTATGACAAAGCATCATGAAGGTGAAACAAATCTCTCTCGCGATAAGAAATTACGAATATTTACATGTTCTACTACTCCTCAGCATGAACAAGCGGATCTTGAAATGGTGCGCCTCTCTGCGGATGTTCCACTCGCTAGCCTGATCGGCTGGAGGGATTTTATTCTTCCTCGGTGTTTAATAATCTATCGATCGTGGCTGCAATAAGTGGGACACGCGGTAGCGTATTTGATTGATGTAGTATACTAAAAACCGGAAGGCCGCAGGTTCAATTCCCGATGAGCTCGTTGGATTTTTTCAATTGACTTAATCCTTCCAGCCGCACTATGACGCTGGGGTCGACTCAGCCTCTAACAGAAATGAGTACCAGGAATCTTCCTGGGGGGTAATGGGCGACAGGTACGTAAGGCTGAGAAACTTACCGCCATCTGTGAGCCGACTGTGTAGATAATGTGGGACCCTCAACGTCTCACAGCCCTAAGAGCCTCCACGGTCTGTTACAGGGATAGCTTTACATTTACCTTTTTACCTATCTCCAAAAATAGGGTTCCTTCATATTGACACCAAAAAACAAAATTGAAAATTTCTTGAAAACCCCTTTAACAATTTTTATAAAATTAAAAGCAAAACTGTGAAGACAATCGCCCTAAATGAAACTCCAAATGTTCTAGCTTCAGGAAAATAACAGTACACGCAACAAGGGCCCAAAAGTTTATACACTATTTACAAAAACGGGCTTGTGAAAATCTCGACCTAGAACGGTCGAAAGAACAAAAATCGATTTGAAGAAAGCAGTCTTCTGGGATTTGGCACCGTGTATATGTGGTGTTAACCGAGTTTCGGAGGAACGTATCGCCTCCATCTTCAGGGTAGAAGGAAAAATATAAGAAATCCGCAAGCGAAGAGACCGNAATCGATTTCGTTTCAAATGTAGCTCAGTCAAACTAAGTCGCATATGAAAAATAGTATGCAATATTTCTGCACGGAATTTTCTTAATGTTAAAGCAAGTGGTACGTATAGTAACCATTGTGTTTTAAAGGGTTATAACCTTCTGATTTCCATGCTAAGTACCGCAAACAATTCTTCAACGTTCATCTTTGAGCATAAACTGAGCATATATGGGGCAGACATGTATGTTTTTGTGTAGGCACATGTTTCATATCCCGAACCAGTTCATGATCTCAGTGGCAGATTGCCAAGAGACCTAAATCACTACTAAAAGGATACTTGTGTAATTCTCAAAGTACATTGGGGATTTGGCGTGCTATCTGCTATTGTAACAACCCCTGGAATATGATAAGGTTATACAGTCCAAGCAACTTAAGTTGGTTGCATGGAATTTTCTTGGATGAAGGACTTGAGGATCTCGCAGCGGTGATTATAAAATTTGCTACCTGCTTCATGCTGGTTTCTTTCTTGGTTTATTCCTCGAACCCTGAAGATGGAGACGATATGTTCCTCCGAAACATAAGTTTACTTTCAACGGATTACACGGCGTTATATCACATAAGATGAGTTAACAAGAAAATATGATATTGTTTGAGTTATAATCGGCAAAAGAACTAGCGACTAACCTGTGGGTTGTACTCCTGGTAGAGGCAACGTCCAGACCGGCTCTAGGGCCCACCCAGCTTTCTATCCAATGGGTACCGCAAGCTCTTTCCCCCGGGGGGAGTGAAGCTGATCACTCATCTCCATCTTGTGCCGAG